GAGCAGACGAAACCGTACCAACGCCAACGCCAACGCCAACATAATCACTACGTTTTTCACATAGTCAAGCACATCCTTCTCCATCGGAGAGGATTGCCAATATCAGGCACACCGCCAGTCGACCGTCAAGCCTGGACAGCAGTGGTCGTCACGGCAGTTGGCTTGGCCAACTACGCGTGTTTGAACGTGATTTCCTCGCCCACTGCCCTCTTCTCGTCCATATCTTGTGACTCCCGCATAGACAGCATCCACTCCTTGCCAACTCGACCAAAGTTCCGAACGCTTACTTCCTCATTGAAGAGTCGATTGATGACCTCAAGGGACAGGCCGCCACACTCAGGGAAGCAAAAATACGCAAATATCGTGGCAAGCACCGAGGTCGATCCAAATATGAACCCAACCTTGTAACCCAAGCCGGCGCCGGGAGTGGAGAACAAATACGGTAGGGCGGTCGTTATAACGATTCTGCGAGCTCAGTTAGTTGGTTTCTCTATTTTAATTTCCTTCACCTCTCCTTTCCGGAGGTGAAGATGTGGACGACGGGGGCCTAACCTAATGCATATGCCAGGTACGTGATTTGCATCGCCGAGATAATCCCGTTCTTTATGGCAGCGCTGGGGTGCGCGACCGTACCGAGTCCCGCCATAGTGTACATAGAGATAGCCATGAAAAAGCCGCCAACGGTAGGGAACCATCTCTTGCCAAGCTTGTCAATCATGATCATGGCGATTACGCCACAGACAGCAACACTAGCGGACGTAGCGGCGGTGACCCTTGTATTAGTGAGAGGATCGTATCAACTACTTTACTATCAACCATGTTCTTTTAAAATCCACCGTACTTTCACAGTCAGCTCTTACCAATAAGTTTACGTAAGGAGCTTTGGTGCCACAAATCCCATCATTTTTCTCACGCGTTCGTGCGTTTTGCGACATAGGTTTGATATTTCGGGTAAACAAACCATGATCCCTTTGCCGGAATTTTTTCATGGGGCCCAAGGACTTCGATGTCAAATTTGTGGACTATTCGGGGGATTACCAATGACATCTCGAGGATGCTCACGTTCTTACCGATACATGAACGTGATCCAGCTCCGAACTAAGGCCTGATGTTAGCTGGTATCTTTCTATACCAATCACCTTGATTTGAGCCATAGGCGAGATCAGAAAGGGAAGGACCAATCGCCTAAAAGAGGACTCGAAATCTCACAATGTAGGATGCGAGAATATCGACAACTCACCGAGAACGAGTCCGTAATGTTCCCCACGGGGATGGCGCCGTCTGGGCTGAGCCAACGCTCTGGCAGGAACTCATCCGGTCGTTCGACCTTATCTTTGTTATAATGCAATGCCCACCCCGAGCACCCTACTACAGTCTATCATTCGAATTACACGTTAGTATTCTTCTTATAGTGAAACACAGCAATCCAATGGAAAGCTATAAAGTAGCGCCCATGCAGCCTATGAAGTAGACTTACGCCTTTAGGAAAGAAGTAACCGCCTAGGTTGGCACCGGTATCGGGTACGACGCGGGGCAGGATGACACCCACTGCCGGATGTAGGCGGAGGACCTCCTTGATGACTGCCTGCAGGTACGGCATCTCCTGCGTCTGGGCGAATGTGGGGCATTCGGTCCACCGGCCGGCCGCGATGCCGCCATTGATCTCGTGGCGTAGCTTGGCAAGCTTGTCCGGGTGCGTGTACAGGTACCAGAACGTGGCGCTTAACGAGATACCGGTGGTCTCGGATCCAGCGATGATGTTGCCGCCCATTACGTCGAAGAATGTCCCAGGATATCTGGTCATCGGCTTGATGAGCTTACCCTCAGCCTCTAGGCCCATCAACTTGGTCGCGAAGGACTGCGCTCGTGGATTCACCTTCGCCTGCGGACCTAACGCCTTCGACTTGGCTACTACGTTGCCAATGTAATCACTCAGTACGTTGCCGGCGACCTTGCTAAAGGTGTTGATCATCCCGAAAACGAGTCCGATGATCTCCGGGAACAACCCCGCTGTGGCGCCTAGCTGGTCGATCCGTTCGATAAAGTGCAGCACGCCCGATTTATCTCTTCCGTCCTTCGTCATGCCGAAATCTTCGTCCCACTAGCTTGCGTGTTAGCCAAAAACTCTCCTAGCTTTCCCATGTGGACATGAAAACCGTACAGTTATCTGGCCGATAACATCGAAAGCATAATACTGACAAAAGTCGTACATGGGTACCTGCACTCTGTTGTCTGCCAGCTCGCCGAGCTTGTCCACGAACACCGTATTTGACTTGTCTACCAGTCCCTCATAGTTTACCATGGTGCTCATGCTATATAGAGAGGCCATCGCTCGCTTCCGTCGGGCATGTTCCTTCGCATCCTGTATATTGAGCTGATTGTCGATCCTCGGGTCACCGAAGGCTTTGTAAAAGTCCGACTTAAGAAACGGATTGTGTAGGTCGTATATTTTCTTCATTTCCTCCGTTCTATTAAAGCTAAAGCGGTTGGGCGCGAGGCGAACGACGGGCCCTGGATCTCTAGTTAGCACCGAGGAGGGGAGATTGCCAGCTATGGCGCAGCCAAAGCAGCGATCGTCGAGAAACTAGTTACCATATTTTTCATGCAAGGCAATCAGGTCGCGGAAGAAATATCCGCGCCGAACAATCGCAAACTCCCATAGTCGAGTGAACCGAGCCAGCGGCGGTCCCGGGACATTTCTCAGCGGGGAAAAAAAGAGGTCGTGAATGGTGGACGCTAAGGCATAGGCTATGAGACCACCTATAGCAATGGCGAATAATAATAATACGGCGTCTTTTGAAAGTAACAGCTCACGTGTCGTCGACATGTTGACATCAGGGAGGGTCTTCGGTCGCTGAAAAACGACGTCGCTTGACAGCTTGAGGAGAAAAGGTCACCAAGTGCACTTGAGTGTGTTTGTGTGTGGATATTTATGCATCACGCCTTGATCTTCGCCCTCGGCAGATGGTTATAGTTACATTGAATACTGTGTTGCTGGTATGTGTTGGAATCGGGTTCCTAACCATGAAGATCGGGTCCCGATCCAAAAATCATGACGTCTTTCGGCCGAGCGTCGGCTTCGCGGATGGCTTCCAATTCCCGACTGAACCACATGGATCAGGCCTGTATCCATATCGAAAGCAGGACCGTGAACCGTGTTTTGCGAGATTTATATTTGTCAGCTGCGCCTCGAGCCAATATGGCTATGCATAATGTATTGACATAAAGACATGTAGCAGCACCTGTTTTGGCTGCTGCTTGATTATGTGATAGTGCAACACTAACTAGGGCTGGACACAGCGCAATGTGTGCTAATAGGCAAAACGCAAGATGCGTGTTGTAATGGTTGTCAGATGGGAAAAGGAGCGGGAAAACCCGTACCCCCAAAATAAGGTAGTTGTATTGATCAAGATGCAGGGCTGAGCTAAGTCGCCCTGCAGAAATATTTACACATAATGATGTGGGCTGGTTATGCGACGCACATACCGCCCATGATACATTAAGGAAAGGCACACAGACCACCTGGTGTAAGATTATAGTATGTGATAAAAATCAATTCTAACCTGCATTATAGATTTAATATATTTACTAGAAGCATTCAAAACAAAACAAGGCTGGCTTTACCATTTAAACGAGATCCCATTAAAAATAAAGTACATAAATAATCGTTTTTTTTCCGTCATATCTAGCATTAAACATGTTAGTTTAAAATTCCGAAAAGTCTAGCTTTAGGTAAAACTGATAATAATGCCAGCTCGATGTGACGATACGTCCCTTGACGCGCTGGATAAGGGAGGTAGGGGTATTGGCTTTATGTTCCTAAGGTAGGGTACGATAGCCGTACAAGAATTGGGCTGGGTGGTGTATGGAGTCTTTGCCGCTGGAGTTCACTTGCTATCGATCGTCAGGAGGTATTGCTCCCTTCAGTTTCTAAGAAGTAGACTGAAGCTTAGATTGATCACTGAAGTAATGAATGACTAGTTACAGGGGAAATCCTTTGCCTTATATGTCCTTCATTCCTTCACTGATTGTCCTTGGACCGCTAGGACCGATGGTTATCTTCTGCGGTCCTGCCGGTCCTCGTCCCTGGACCGCTGGGACCAATGATTATCTTCTACGGTCCTGTCGGTCCTCGTCGTGTCACGTGACCTGCGTTGGCTGTAAGTTCCTCCGACCCGTCTAGTCGTTTACTCGTGACGGTCTTCTGGGTCGCGGTTCGGGCCGCCTGTGTGTCGGTTCGTAACACTCGACTTTATTTATATACCAAACTTTTAAACCACCTAATCTTATAACAGCAACAGGCGGTAAGAGATGCTGAAAGTTAAAAACATTAACAAAGTGGACTGTTACCCTAACGAGACTGGGAACGCTTCATTAAAAAGCTAAAGAAGCCATTTCTTCCTTCGTCCAAGTGTCACTGTAATAGGTGTAGTCAGGTACAGTCAGTGTATTGCCTATGGGGTGCCGTAGTGGTTGACGGATACTTAGGGGACCTCCTGTCCCCTAAGGGGAGGACGATGCCTCTGCTATATATGGGCGTACCTGGCCCGGGTGGGGCCTGGTCCGGCCACGAGGCTGGGACAGAGCCTCACTATGACACCAAGGTAACTCGTTAAGCTCTGTGCGGTTTTAACGAACTGATACCGAGCTCTTTAAAATGATTCCCTGGTACATGCTACGATCTAAAGGTTTCACTTGACATAAAAAACGCTGAGCCTTACAAACGTTAATTCGGAGCCATTAAATGTTAAAACCAAACCAGAGATTCTACCTATGATCTACTATTTAAGACCTCTAGCAACGACCTTTACGGTATCGAAAGATGTACTAACTTACACGTCCCTATGTAACAACCGCGACTGCATGGCTTACATCTCGCATCGCGGTTTTCAAACTAAGGTAACTACGACCCTTTTAATGGTAAAGTGCAAGTTTTACTAAGGACAGCGGTAATCCAAATTGCGATAAGGGGGTAAGCAGCTAACTACTAGTTACATGAAGCCTGTTTGGCGTAGTGGTTAACGCGCCGCTCTTATAACTCTTTCTTTACCGAAAGATAATATAGTAATGCGGAGGTTGCCAGTCTAATCCTGGCAATGGGCACTCAATATTTTTATGTTTAAACCCCCGCCTTTGTTATTTTATATGTTTCCTTGCTTTGTTCCTGTGTAGGGGCTAACATCAGATTTCTCAAAGAAATGTTGTATTATATAAATATCTCCTACTTGCTTTAGGAACTCCTATAACGTATATGTCATGATAAGGCTCTGTCCCAGCCTCGTGGCCGTATCGGGCCCTCTCCGGGCCAGGCGCGCCCATATATAGGAGAGCCATCGCCCTCCCCTTAGGGGACAGGAGGTCCCCTAAGTATCCATCAACCACTATGGAACCCCATAGGCAATACACTGACTGTACCTGACTATACCACCGACTGTAACATAGCTAGCTTTATTCCATTTCCTGGTTGCAGGTCTTAAGCAAATTTCAATAATTAGTCCACGACTTTCGACAGCTTTTTTATTTATATGATTACCTTAAGGCGCCTTAATTAAAGCGTGGAACAAAGACAGTCAGGCTCCACTTGATGGAGGCATCCGTTACTACAGTTTAATGGTCGCCCAAGCAGCAGAATCTGCAGCGATGTCGCCTAGTAGCCCGAAAACGTACCAACCTTCCAGAGAACTAAAGACCTTATTCTCTCTTTTTTTCTCATATAAGTCTGCTCGCTAACCGAGGTGCGCCTGGTTATATAAGGGGAGGCACCACAGGATGAGGCCAGCAATTAATATCATTTGTGGAAAAATCACGAATTTTCAGCAGAGGGGAATCGATTGGAGAATGTCCTTAATTATCTTGCTAAGTCCGATCTAAGCCACATTAATTGGCTTAGCATTCACAGATAGACTTGGTTCAAGTGCATCCCTCCTCGTGATGACGCCGAAGGTCGATTCTTGGTTGACTTGAAACGATATAGCGAACATCAACTAGCTACGAAATAGACATTTTAGGTTCTGGAACTAAGATGTTAAGTAGTGGTAAGGAATATAGCTTAGACACGATGTCCGATATATAAGCTCAACAATGCCACGATACAGCTTTGTCCCAAGGTTAGGAAAGAAGGATTCCAGGATGCTGTAAATAAAGCAGTTACATAAAGTCTAAATCAGTAGGAAAATATGCATGACTTTAGAAAGGGTTTCTTATATGTAATTGAGTTACAAGGTATCTGATTGTAACAGAGGGTAGTTACAAATAGTTTATGCACAAGTTAGTTAAACTGAACACATTGTCGAAGACTAATGTGTAGCTCGAATCTTAAAATCTTGTCTTACACTACGGCATTCTAGTTCAAATTAAAAAAATATTCGATGCTTAAATCCCAGCTGTAGGCATAAATCGTAACTAAAACCGGTCGCGGTGTCACACTAATGTATTCTCAATCCTATCGCCGTGTTGGAAGCCGCGTTAAAGGACTGCGGCTTCGTCGGCTTGGTAATTGAGCAATCATGGTGATACCTGATCGCATGGGGTACTTCGGCATCCCTGTGATTTGTGGTTTGATCCAAGTGGCCCTACAAAAGCGCCCACATCGGTGTTTAAGAAAGAAAGACTGGATCCCGGAAATACCTAGGTCTCCTGGGCCACAGTTCTGTTGCCGAGACATGACTATAGGGTCGGATAGAATGCTGACGTACAAAGTCCTGGTTAGATACAGTGGACATAGTCTGGGAAACAAGAAAACCTACCATCCATCACGGTAACAGCCTCCTTGTAGATCGCACAGTAGTAATTGACCGTGAGAATTATGATAGGAGAAATGGCTCAGCGCCTGCATAACCTCGCTCCAGGGATCGCTATTCGGGTGAATCCAACCTGTGTTGCTGTTGAACTTCTCGAAGTTTTCGATCCTGGGCTCTATGAGACATTTGCGTCCAGTATCACCATAAAGCCATATCTCTGGTGTATTAAGCAGGATTCTTTGGTTCAAGATACCCTGGGCATTCCAGTCATCAATTATATGCTGCGTACGGGAGATGATAGCGAGCTCTTGGTCGAAGTAGTATGTCTCAATGTTTGAGCCAATCTTGAACTCCTTGGCAACGCAACGCTGGCCCCGGCGTTGTCCGTCGGTATAACGTCCATCGTAGACATTCTTAAATATCCCCGAAGCAATGATGGTATTGCGGTTTATCATACCGTGTCTGGCGTTATTATGGCGTGAGTATGCCATTTTATTGCATGGGATAATATAACTACTAGTTGATCCGCAGGAAAGATAATGCACACATGAATCGACGAAGACATCGATGAACACGCGTTACCGAAGCACTTTTTATACTGAAACACTAATACGTTGTGTTTTAGCCTGGTTCTTCTGTACATGAGTAAGCTTCGATTCCGTTGGAGTTACACCGATTCTGTGTGACACATTTCGGGAAGCATGGCATGCTCCCGACTGTGGGAGAATGTACTGGCTCCTCGAAAGTTCGGACTACTCAGGTCGATTCAAATTGTGCTGATAGAGTTATCGCGGCTGCATGAATATTTATTACTCATTGTTTATAAAGAACATGGTGGATGAAGGTCGAGTATTCCAGCTTCCGGTACACCACACCACCACCGAGGACTTTGCTAACCCAAATCTTATCAACAAGCGCTTATGTCCACTTCTGAACATGAAAAAGTTCCAATGAGATAGTGAGATGATAACCCAAGTCACTAACGTAAGAACGGTCACACCAATCTTTGAAGTCCACGCCCTCATTCCTATCTCATGACTCACCAGATTGCCCTGAAACTGATCCAGCGCAAAATTGAAATAGTGTTTTCCTTTTTTTATCCTTCATTCATATCTACTGGTTCGACTTCCCAGTACAGCTTCGATGACCGTGTTTTTCATCGTGTCGTGACAACAAATTTGCGCAAAGTCATTGCGCCTGTTTGCAACTCAACACATAGTTCTTCGCCTGTGACCTGACTCGCGAAGCTTGCCGCAACTATGTCCTACAACACCGCAGATTCGAAGACGATAAAGCGCGACTTGATGAGGTGGGTTCTGGCGCTATTGTTCACATGGAAGCGATGCTCACTTGGCCGCTGACGTCGAAGAGGACGATGTGTCACTGGCTATCGGCTCCAACTTTGAAGCGCCTGCTCGTCACACGGATAAAGTGCGCAGGCTTCACGGACATTAAATGTAGATTATCGCCTTGTACCTCGGCATGGGTGTCGCTGACGTCGTCCTACAGCAGGGTTCCATTTGGGCCACCTAAGACATAATTGCGTTCTGGCACTCTCAACCTACTGACTCTACCTATTAACATTAACATCCATGATATGTCCTAAAAGGCAGCGAACGCCGCTTAACATTGTCTTGAAAGAATCTTGACAAGAAGCCCCAACCTACATTACCCGCCTGGTGGAATGTCATGGTGTAAATAATTCAGGTGCATATCTAGGTACTTAGTCATCACAGAAGACACTCATCATTATAACAGCAGTCGCAATTTGCTTCTAAGCCTCAATCACAGCTTGAAAGCCAAGCCCTCATCTGGCGTCACCTCCCCACGAGCCAAACGATCCCATCCCTGGATGACATCGTCCATGCCTTCTCCCCAATTCACCTTGAACCCCCTGACCCCGGTGCTTCGGAACTCCTGCCAGGAATTTCCTATATCCTCAAAGTACTTCACCTCGCCCGTCTTCTGCATTGCCGCCGTACGCATAACATCCGCATTCAACTGCAGCACATCCAATCCCTCTGGAAACGCAGGAGGAGGGCTGCCAGCGGATTCGGCTGGGTCCGTGATGGCGGATCCGATGAGGGCGACGCGTAATGCGGTATACGTGGGCTTCAGCGTCATCGCCCACTTGAAAGCGACGCCAGCGCGGCCGCCAAAGTCGAAGACGACAACCTTCTGCTGCGTATCGGCGCCAAGACTAGACAAGACATCCGTGGGGTTCGCACTCGTGAGGGCAGTCTGATCATATAAGCCCGTAGCATCCACGAAAGCCTTGGAGTACTCGCTCGTAACACCAACAACGCGAGCGGGCTTCGCGCCCTCGCGACCATCGCGAAGCATACTGGCAAAGCAAAGCGCGGCCTTGGAGCCCGGCGCGAAGACGAGGACGATGGCGTCACTCAAGTCGGAGGATTCAGCCGCCGTGCCCTGGATCGTGTCGCTGGAATTAGGACAGAAGACATACTGTGCCATCAGATAGGCTGTCTCGTGCATTATGCGGAACAAGGCATCATAGGCAACACCGTCGGCCTTGTGCTCGATCTCGGAACCCAGGGATGCGGGAGAGACGAAGTAGCGGTTGTAAATCGGCATGACATGCTGACGATAGCCGCTCGTGACAAGAACCTGGTCCGAGACGTCGCCAGCCTCGACCTGCAGGTCCTGTGGTAGGGTGCCGATGGGCAGATAGCCCCAGAGATAGCTGCCCTCGGGCACGCCGGCAAAGGTCGACTCGAGGACCTTGGCGTAGCCCCAGCAGTTGATGCGGCCGTAGATAGATGGATCGTTATAGGGCGCAGGCGTGTCGGAGGGGAGGGGGTGGATGTCCCACCAGTGGAGCAGGTGGCCGAGTTTTGCATATGTGAAGTTGTTGACCGTAAGGCACATGATCTCGGTCTTGAGGCGGAGGGACGAGTCTCCTAAAGGGGGGAGCGGTGATGCATTTGGCAGCGATACGAGAGCCTGATCGAAGTAGTTCTTCTTATCCAGTATCTGGATCATTGATACTTCAGCCATGATGTCTGCCTGCTTGCCTCGGTAGATAGGCGAAGTGTGAAACTGGTAGTAATGGAGAGCAGTGGTACTGGAATCCAAAGTATCGGGTATCTATCGGTCGAGGAGGCCAAAGGGGCTTTATGTATGTTCTTGTACTGTTCAATACATCGAAGCAACTGCTGTACAGGGAAAGGCAGGCCAGCTAGCTGATATTGTATGTTTGCGCTGTGTGCTCGCGATTCGGCATTATTGGATGACCATTACCTAGCTGTCAAATGGCAGCCCACGTCGCGAAGTGATCATGCTGCCCCCACCACCGGCAGGGATATCATAGCTCATACATAGCTTGCCTCTTGTGTCTTCTAT